TCGACACAATACGTTCGGTTTACAAGAACAAATCTTGCTCCTTGAAATGGTTACAGCTAGACACAAAACATATATCAAAGTATAAGTACGATGGGGGAATAAGAATAAGGCCGCATTCAGTGGACTAACTAGTCCGTGGGTCAAACATGGCGACCCACTAAAAAGCCTGCCGTCTGATCCGCTAATAAACACTGAATAAATTCCCTGTGGGGTAGTTTTTATGTGGGTCGGCCATATTTGATCCTCAGACCATTTAGTCGACTGTTCTGAATGCGGCCTAAAATGGGCATAACCATAACGACATTCGGAAAGAACATTTAGCAATCGCCGACAAAATAGGGGTTAAGATAGTAAGAGCGCATTCAGAACGGATGATACGCGGACTGGTTGATCCGCCGACTTAATATTGCGGGCCCCACTTACAAGCGATGCCTCTAATTACCTGATAGTCTCCCCGCCTCCACACGCTCCGCTGCTGCAGGGGCCTAGCAATTAAACCTCGTAGCGGAGATTTAATCGGTTTAATGGCGCTTGTGGAGGGGGGGGGGAGACCATCAGGGAATTAGCGACATCGCTGTTAAGTGGGCAGCCATATTTAGTGCGCGGTTAATTTGTTCTGAATGCGCTCTTAGAAGTAGCCGAATGTAAATATTCGCAAAGATCCTTATCCAATGGCTGGGAGTTGACACTAAAACATTGATATGTGCGCGCCCACACACAAACACACGCACACACACACATGCAGAGAGAGAGAGAGAGAGGGAGAGAGTACGACGGATGTTTTTTTTTATCAAAAGTATTTTTTTTTTATTTTCATAACATATAGTGATTGGTATAAATACATGAATCAACATCAGTACACATTCACATTGTAGTTCATAAGATATTTCTTTTAATAGGAAGGAGTACAACGGATGTTGGTTAAAAATTCAATATAACGTTTCTTAACGTGTGTGTGTGTGTGTGTGTGTGTGCACGCGCGAGGGATGGGTGTGAACATAATAAGAAGAACCATTATGTAATCGGTGTGGTATTTCTTCTCGGTAGTCTACTCTGGTGCCTTTAGGGACATAAAAAGACGCACAAGTGAACGACGTAATGCTTTCCCCCCAAGGACGGAGCAGGTGAGGCAATGCGTGTTCTGTTCGACCGTGCTTGCTATGAAGTCAACATTACAGTGAAAACACCACGTCTCTTCTTCACACATTGCTTGGGGACATCAAGTTAATGGACTACGGTAATGACGCGATCTTTTCAAACAGAAAATTGTGAATTTTACAGATACTGTATTTTTAAGTCATCATTTCTTAACAACAGAAAATGCCTATTCAGTGCTAGCAACAAAATGGAAAAGCATACTATCAAAGTTTTATTTTATTCAGTAAAAGCACCATAAATGCTATATAGAAATGTATTTTAAATGATTCTAAAATGATGCGTCTGCAAAATTGACCATTCTCCCCTTTGGAAAGATCGATTCAATGCCGTAAAAACATAACGTTGCCTCCAGGTGACCATCAAGAGTGAACTTACGCAAAGAAAATAAGGGCAATTTAAGACCATTTAAGTGAAGGAAGCTTCAAATTACACCTGTGTCGCAATGAGTAGGATCGTTAACCAAGAGACGCAAACCATAACAGTGCTGCATAAAAGCTATCAATACATTCTGATTTATACTTAAATTTTTACTCTTTTAAATGTGTGCGTGTGTGTGTGTAAGAAAGACGAAGCAGGTAGGTAAATGGCCCACAATTTATTGTTGGCATCCTTTGAACCATTTACTATAACTCCACTTTTTCTTACACTTGAAATACACTTTTCTGTTGTACTGTGCATCTACCTATTTCAATTAATCTGATTATTGCTTGTGCTAAAGTTTTTTCAGCATTAAAGGATCAATGATTTAGTGTTTTTCCTGCTGTTATTGGCCATTTTGGATGTATCAAATGGCACCAACACTACTCCAAATAGTAAAGAGGACCATTCCAACTTGTATCTATCACTCAAGTAAGCTCAGATAGTGCTGTGACCAAAACCATAGGTCTCATCTATGAAAAATTAATATTTGTAATGGGCATTGGCGACCATTTTTTGGAAAAAATCGTGATTGTCTAAAATATGGTACTAATTAAGTTTATTCATGAGGATCAAGCCCCAGTATTACACGAGCAATGTGTACTGAGTTCAAAACTGTGACTGAAAATGATAATTCAGTATTTTAAGAAAATTTATAATGAAAAACGGTACGTTATCGATATTGTAATGGATTTAACGACCATCTTGTGAAACTTTCAGTAGCGTCAGTTGTTGCATATCTCATTGCTTAGATCTAAATTAACAAAACATTTGTTATTTGTAATTTGCTCTAAATTACTTGTGTATGAAAAGTGATATTATCCAATGTTTTCATCCAATTTTTGTCAACGTTGATATTTCTCTGACAGTTAACGGCCATTTTGGATTTGTTGAAAGGTACTTTTACGATGTAAAACGGTAGAGGGACTTCTATTAACACACTTCTAGTGCAAGGCTGGACTGAAATAGTGGTATTAGCCAATTCAAGGACTTTTCATATGCAAAGTTGTATAGGCATATTTCTCTTGAAAATGGCGATAATCTGGTAACCAAGCCATATTTGCTTGAGAACCCCAAGGGGGATCGGATCAAGAAAAAATCTCTATATGAACAAAACTGTCTGGGTTTACGTATTGGAGTCATGGGAGTGACTACTAGACTATAACGCTGTTCAAGACATCAGTTCTACTGTGCCGCACAATGTGGGTAGGCTTTTCGTGGCGTACTGGTACTTGGTATTTTACATACTGGTAAGTGGTATTTTTCAAAAGCACTGCTGGTTACAGATGTTCGTGACAATTAGTTTACCCTTTCATACAATGCAGGTAGCCTATCGTCTATGAAAGTATTCTTGTTTAAAAGCACGTTTTTTGGCTCCTGTCTAAGCTGTAGAAGTAATATTTGAGATAGGATCGAGGCAGATAGAGACATGTAGTTTCAGCACTCTGCTGAACACTATATCAATAAACTGCATAAAATAAAATTGTTGTATTAGAATTTATTTCATCAAGTTCTAGAAATTCAGTGTATGACTTAAGGGAGACCGAAACGCTAGGGTTTTTATTTCTTATGAGAAATGGGGATATAATGCTGTCGCACCAATAATCGGAGTGAATTAGCTTATTCTAGCTGATTACATAACAGCAGCAGTACTTTTGGGGGTGAAAACTGTAACATCGATTTCAAATAGATCTACTTCACCTGGACATCACAACAATAAGTACCACAATCTGGTTCCTGGGAATTTTTTGAAGGGCTGTTATCAGTAAAGAGGCGAAATAATGCTTTTGTTTTATAGAACATTGTAATCAGGGCTTCATACTTGTATGTCCCAAACAAAATGATTTAAACCCAAACGCTGGCAGTATTGTGGATAACACCCTAACCACCAACCATGCCAATTTTCATGATAATATCTCTCTTCACTGCCTCACACCAATTTATGTAGCAGGAGTGCAGAAACGTGTTGAGTGGTAAATAAAGCAACAACAACAGCAACAACAACAACAACAAAATTTTTTTATTACACCCTGGCTGGACTCATTCTTTAGGTCGTCTTTGCATTGTTAACAGCATAACGGGCAAGTTAAATGACCAAATTAATTGGTCAAGCTCCCAGTTTGTTTGTATGGCATGTGCAGGCGATGTCTTAGATCAAAGCACATATTATGATACTTACAGGTGTGGCAAATGAGATATACTTGTATTTCATTACCTGTGATTTGTAAAATACATCAGAGGATGATTCTTTTAAAGATGTTTAATGTTTAAAGAAAAGACATGTTACTAAGTAACATTTACTAAAGAAAAGTTAAATTAAAGGTGGGTTTCATTTGTGCCTTGATCTAAGACAACCCCTGCACATGCCACACAAACAAACTGGCAGCTTGGCTAATTAACTTGGTCATTTAACTAGCCCATTATGCTGTTGACAATGCAAAGACACCATAAAGAAAGGGCCCAGCCATGGCGTAATAAACATGGGGTCTGGGCTTTTTATGCATGGGACTAGATTTGGTCCAGGCCTTTAACATATACAAAACCATGCAAATCACCCTCATTACATGCAACAGCATCGCTTCCCTCACATTACAAACTCCATAATATTTCACATATCCCTGAGATTATCCACAGCGTCGGAAGGATACACGAGGGCGTCAGGAAACGTACGGTAAACAATATTTTTTTAAAAAGTTTCCCAGCTTCTGTAGTTTCAGGATTAGTGTAACTCAATATCAGCGTTGATTTCATCTACAATACCTGGTTGCGTACAGCGAGTTCCCGCGAAGTTGGTTGGCATTGGCCTTTGCGACCGAACTCATCCTAAACGAACCTTTAGTCTGTGTGATTTAGGTGTAATATTGATCTAGGTGGCCCCTCCCAGAGATTTTTGAAAAACAACTTTTGGGACATTAATAATTTGTTGGTTTTTTTTGTCTTTATTTCCTCCAAGTCCATTATAAGCGTAGGAATTTTCCGTCAGTGAGCGCATAGACGAGTATCACTGGTGGTAAAAAATAACCCTTTTGCATGTCAATGATCGGTGAAGTGTATCCCCTCTGTAATTGATGAAATACAGGTCGAATTAAGTACATGTATTTCTGTCGAGAATTTTGAAAATTTATTGCAAATCGCAAGATGTTTTCAGAATATGTGCGCATGCGTGACTGGAAACCCCCGTTTCTAATTGTTGATTTTTATTATTAAAAAGTACAGGTAATTTTGAAAGCTAACCTGTTTGGATTATTTATCTTAAAGCCATGTACTTTCTGTTACGTTTTCAAAGTGTGACTTTGAGCTTCCATGAGATGGCAACAATTTGCTTTACTTGCTTTTTAAAAATGGAAATGTTTCATTTGTCACAGAATCTAACAGTGAATCCAATTTCAAGCACAAATCAGAGAATTATTCAATATTTATTCAAACTCTATAGATAGGGTGGGACTACCTATATACTATTTTGTGAAAAGAAACAAAGAATAGGAGTAACAAGATTCAACTTCATATGCCATTTTAAGTTTTTCTTTGAATTAAGTTAGCAGAAACTTACACCATAATACTGTAAACTTAACATGAATGATGGTTTGTTTAATTTTAATGCAATGAAAGGCTGATAAGTAAATGAAGATATGAAACATCAATAAAAATAGACAAACAGATATAAAAAACAAATGTTCACACACACACACACACACACACACACACACACACAAAAAAAAATTCTCCACAAACGTAATGCATTCATTTTGTTGCTTTAATCATTTTCAGTTCATCACTGTCATAGTCTTATTCTAACAAAAATGCAATACTAGTACTATGTATAACAAACAGAAAAATATATAGTTCAAACGAACAATGTAAACAGCCTTTTGATATGTCAAATCCTGGTAAGCATTTTAAAATATCTGTGAAAGTCATCTGCTATAGGCTGAAATTTGTTCAACTGAAAAGGCTATTTGATTTCATTTTTTTCATTTTTGGCTTTTGGGATGAAGACATCCAACTTGGAAGTTTACGCTTGCTGTTCTCAGCCCCCTGTCCAGCACCAGCTGAGGAACCTGCAGGTTTAAAGGTGGCAGCACCAGCTGAAAGGCCTGCAGGTTTATAGGTGGAAGCACTATCTGAATATGATCTTGACAGCTGAGCTTTACTGGCCTGAAACAAGATTCAATAAAATAAAATAAAATAGCCAAATTGACCAAAGATTTTAACTTCATCATGCACATTTCCACAAATCAGTAACTAATTTACATAAATTTTCTTGAAAAATAAAAAAATAAAATAAAAACAATAATAATTCTAATAATTCAAGAATAACTGAAGCTCAATATAAGCACTACCAAATTAAATATTGGTCTAAAGAAGTATCTCGATCTCCTTCACTGACAGACAAAGAAAGAGACCGATATCTTACCGTGTCACTCCAAGTGTCACCACTGTCAGTGTCAGCAGACATTCCAAACTGGTGCTGTAAAATGGCAACAACAATCTTGATTTGTGCAAAGGAGATATAGTCCGGTAACTGGTCCTTGATGGGACTCAACTTGGAGATGTCTGAAATCAAGGCCAAAAAATTAATGTAATTACCTCAAACTGCTATATAACCAGGTATTACAGAACTAAAAATAATAATCAATACAAAATATTTTTAATTGCACATTAGTTAAAAATGATCCTTAATAAATGTAGGTTTTAACAATCAAAAGAGACGAACCATATCTAATCAAAAAAGTATTTTTGCCTACTGGTTCTAGGATAGCAGGGTTTGAGAATCTACTGACCCAATGTAGAAAAAAGCCCAGTAACGGAATCACAAAATTCAACTGACCCAACTTCAATTGCACTGTGTTACAAACTGTTGTAACAAGATGTTAAAATTCAATTAAATAATGTGCTCTTTAGTTAAAAGTATCTGGATGAATCTTTTTATTTAATTTCACAATAATTGTGTCATTTATTAACAAATTATAGTCCATCTTGTCAGACAATGTGAGTCCAAAGCATTTCTGTTATTACATTTCATTACATATGAGTGTGCAAGTTGGATTGTTCTCTCTCTCTCTCTCTTTCTCTTAATGGTAAACCCAAGTACAGTAAAATTTGGAAAAGTAAAGAGTTTGACATTTAGCCCGAGACCATTGTAAATGCTACAGTCTGTATTACTAATATTATTATCATTATCAAATAATAACAATGGTTTCTTCTGTACACAAGTAACAGCCACCTGAGTTGACAGGAGGGGACCGTATTGCCTCACAAATCATGTTGTGGACTTTGGACGTGATGCCAACGCGTTCAATGTCCACTGGTAGTCCCACTCGGATAGCTTCAGCCAGGTGACCCTCCACTGTGGTCACTTTAAGGCCCCTCGTGTTGCTGATTTTGTCCTTTAAAGGCAAATAATAATAATAATAATAATAATAATAATAATAATAATAAAAATAAATAAAATAAGAATAATAAATTAACAGGGATAAACATAATAAAGAAAATTAATTAATAATGATAAAAATAAATCTTATTTAATTATATTATGAAAGTTTTATTGCTGTAAAAATGATTATGAGAAAATATGACTAATGATAAAATTCAGGATAGGTCAGACATAGTCTAACTTAGAATCCATATGATTTTGATAGTGAACCATTATTAAAGAGTGAACTTGTCTAAATTAACGAGAACTGAGCTTCCTTGGCAGAGGTGTTTTTCTCTGTTACTGCTGTTACTCACAAGGTTCCATCCCTCCCCTTCAAACATCATATACGATGTCCTCACAGTTTCTGACAATTTCTCAGCAAGCCTGTCATACTTGGGATCCCACTGAAATGTATCATACAAACACAGAAAGCAAATAAACTTGTACATGTATAATACACATTCATTTTTATTAAAAAGACAGCGGGCTCTAGGTTTTGAATAACCTGATATAAATGTTATTGAAAATTGCAGTAAATTCCATTTCCAAAAAAAGGCCTAAATTTCCTTTTCAAAAAGACTGAATAAAACCTTGTGGCATACATTCAAATTCATCTTTTAACAAAATTGGATTAAATAAAAAGTTAATAATAAGTTTAATTTAGCACATAAAAATCATACATTAGTGGGGTTCAAAATTTGATGGTAAAAATACTCTACCAAAATTTGTTAAATAAATACTTCACCAATAGTGTCTAAGGGACAATTGTACAGATCCATAAGCACAAGCTTCTGAATATATTCTGTACCAGTAGTTCATACAAATTACCTTCATCCCTCCTGTTAAACTACTGCTATTAACCTCTTCGGGAAAAACATCTTTCTTGGCATTATTTGCATCACAGAACTCCTGAAGCTTGGCAATAAACTTTGGTCCATACTTTTCAACCTTTGTCTCTGGGTAGTCTTCTAATTTCTTTAGGCTCTCTAGTGAGCAAGGTCTAAAAAACAAAAATGGATAAGTTTTTTATATACTGTTATGCTCCAACATGAAATTATTTTTTTTATAAATACGTAAAAGGAAATGATATCAAAGGGAATACTTTACTCAGCTGAAGGAAGGATTGCAAAACATTCTTTGCCTTCACTTGGTAATGCTAAAAATAAAAATATGACTACCAGGTGGCAGCACTGACCTGAACACCATTTCACTCACAAGGTGGCAGCTCTTTAGATAGAATCAGTTTGGTTAGAATATAAATATGAAAGTGCTGCAATCATAAAACTACCATACCTTATCTTGGCCATGTCAGCAAGGTTCTTGTTATTGGCAATCATGTAGGGTGCTATGTCTACCTCAGAATGCGCTATTTGATTCCTCAGAGTCAACAGCATTGCGTACAACTCACCCTGAAATTCATAATTATATGCATGATGTTGTTATTGTCATGTTCCGTTTGTATTGTACATGTAGTAAGTTATTTTTGTATGGTATTTAGGGTGGTGCATTTCAACTGTCCTGATTGCTAAAAAAATTCACTTGCTGGATAGATTTGGTCTGTTATACCATTTTGAATTACTTCAAACTTGCCAAACCATGCTGAACTTGATGAGTGGGTAAAATAATATTTGTCATTCTGACTCTGTTTATTAAAAATCTTATATAATTGTTTTGAGACATCTCATAGATATTTGGAAAAAAATTATTACTTTGAAAAGTGAAAGACTGAAAAGTTTCAGAAAATGTGTTAAGCCATACCTGCAACTTTTGTTCCCTGGGATCTATTTGCACAGTTGCCCTAGCAACAGGGGTCAAGCCAAGGTCACGACTGGACAGCCATGTTCCTGTTGGAACCATGGGAAGGATCCTGTAAGCATTAGTGAAGAGCAGGATATATAAACAATTAACCCAGTCAATAATTTGAGAAATCTGTTATAATTAAAGAACATCAAAATCCATATGGGGAACAGAAATCAAAACGATAATAATGTCCCTTTCTAAAATAAAACTGCAAAGAGAACTTAATTTTTCAAATAATAATAACTGTATTTATTTAATTATATGTTAAGTCTAAGATCCATTTAACAAGAAACAACAGTAGTCTTAAGATATTAAGATAAGTAGCATAAGATATGTAAAATGCAATATTGATAAATCGAGAGTAAAATTAATAAATATAAAGCTGAAGTACAGTAAAGTTAAAGATCAGCTTAAAACCCAGTAGATCCAGCTATAACCTTTTTTTACAGATATCAATAAAACAAATAATCTAAGAGAAAAAATAAATTGTGAAATAAGCAATATATAACTATAATACCTGGGCTTGGGAATGTCTTCCTTTTCCTTCTCCTTTTCATAAGTAACTACTTCCATGTTTGGCTCAATCATCAGTTTTGGTCCATTTGACCCACTGACAGCAGCATGTGAGAGCCAATCCTTGGCTTTACGTGACAACTCCACTGCGGTGTAGGTAAAACTGGTTCCCTGCAACACTTTCTCAACCAGGTAGCCCTCTGTAACTAACTGACGAGCTGATTTAAAGACAAGACCAAAATTATATTTTGAAATTAGAAAAATAATAACAAGTAAACAGTTAAATGAATCAGATTATTATAAACAGAACTATTGTTTACTTTGTGCAAAATTGTAACTCAAGATTTCACTCAAATGGTCACTCAAGATTTAATAACTTACATTACCAGTTAGTAAGTTAACTGTAAATATTTCACAATTATATTAACCAAATTATTCACGTTTGCATATTGGAAATATAATTTACAAGAAGAACAACTATATATTGCACCTAGTTGCCTCTTTCATCATGAAAATAATAAAAAAAACTCCCTTCAACTTACCAAAGGCTTTCCACCAATTTTCTGTTCTGTATCTAAAATATATTTTCAAAAGTTGTCAGAATTTATCTATTTGATTATTAATAAATATTTCAATAATAAAACAAAATGGCAGAAATGAAGAATTAAAAAAAATAAAAACAACAACTGGTACTTGATCTGCCAATTTCAGTTGGTTTACAGTCAGACTTTATTAGTTATATTGGCTGGTAACTAGTATTATTCCCAAACTTTTAATAAAAGAGCTTCAATCAGTATCAAAATAACATAATTATTTAGATTTAAAAAAAAAGAGTTTCAAAAACTCCAATTTCATAATACTTCAAAAGAATTTTTTTTTAAATCAGATTCAAATCCAAGAGTACATTAATAAACAAGGCAGCAAAGCTGTCAAATGTACAGACAAAAAACAGGAAATAACTATGCACAAAATAGGCTACTGTCAATTCTGATGCAAAAGTACATTATGTTAAACTGCAAATTCAACATCAAATTTTAATTATGCTCAAGCAGCACCCAAAATTGTGTTTTCTTCTATTCTGATGCAATATTACATAATGGTTAACAGCATAATGACCGTCAATTTTTAATAATAAAATATACATGGATTTTCAGAAAATGTGACTAGCATGGGTCTTCAAGCCCGTGGAACTTCAAAGTTACACCTTGAAAATGCCAATATGTGAAAAATTAAATTTTCACAAAAAAACTGTTTAACTGGCAGTAAGAATTACCAAACAGACTGCATTGCCTACTGAAGCTGTATTTTAGTCCCATGTTTCTTTCCTGTAAGTTTGAGAACAGTAAGTGACATGGTTTTTCTTAAATGGTCATCATGGGGGCAGTGCCCAAAATAGTTTTTTTTT